ACTTAATTTTACATGACATGTTTGTTTACGTCTCATCCTTTATGTCAAAGATGAATTCCGTCACGTATAAAACTAGTTATTTCTAAGTGTGTAGTATTTTGATATCTACCCGGTGCAATAGCAGCATAGGTAGCTCTATTTACTCCCTGAAATTATAGCCCCATTGTTTTGCTTTTTAATGTGTCGCTGGAATCCGGCAACTTCTGAAAATCATGGAAAAGCTTTTACCTTGTATCTATTTTTAAAAGTAGCAAAAAAATCTGACTGTAATTACTGTGGAATTGCACTCCAAAACTTTTTGAAGCAATCATCAATTAAAAACCGTTCTATCAATTCAAATATAGAATAACTAACATGCAACATGGATTCTTCAAAGAACGTTCAACTAATAAAAATTTCCTCGAGTTCGTGAATTACTCAGTTATTGCAATGGGCAATGGAAACCATATACACGCAGAAAAATTTACCGTCGAAACAAAAATATTTGAGGTAAATTTAAACGTAAACTCAGTTTGTTCGGTTTGTTCTGGCCACAAACATAAACTAGGTTGATTTCAAACGTATTCTATGTTTGAATCCATTGAAAATAATGTTTAAAACAAAAATAATGTTACGTTCATTTTATAAATATTCGTGTTGAAAATAAACGTGAATATTTTTGATTTATTTAAAAACTATATGCGATCAAAAATTAATATGTTTATTTTAAACATGCTTTTCATGTTTAAAATAAACAAACATATTTTGAATGCAGAATAAATCAAAATAAAATAGATAGCAAATAAATGGAAATTCTTGCGATTATGGGAAGTCTGTGGATGTTTGGATCCGGGGGACCGTCGGGGTGAGTGTCCGATCCGATCCAGTTCAGTAAAACCGGTGAAACTTTGTGATATTAGCGTCATTTTGTCGTTTCTGACGCTGGTCCTCATACCGGCCTCTTTCTAAGTTTAGTGTTCGGGGATGATCTGTTTTTCTTTCGACGTCGGGTGGGGGGTGAGGATGATATGGGGATCGGCATCAGAAACGCAGGATTGACGTTAATATTGTGATGTTCCACCGGTTTTGTCGAGCTTGGAACACTTGCTTGTGTGGGTTTCCGGACCCTCTACTTCGGTTTCGCCGCTTGCAGGCCGTTTTCGGTTAAGTTTGCCGAATGTAAACAAGAAGGAAAAAAGGACACGCTAAAAATTGATTACCCAGATTATGTATTGTTGAAATAAACATGTTTTTGAATTTAAATTAAACAGACATATTTTTGTTGAAAACATGTTTTTAATTTACTTTGAACCATTCATATTTTTATTTAATAAACATATATATGTTTAACTTAAATGAACAAAATTTGGTTCCGTGTAAAACCTCTCTATATAGACTGCAGCAAGACATTTGACCTCATTGACATACCCATTAGAGTGATGCAAAATTTGAAATTTTTACTGCACAGGGCTCAAATGGCTTCAAATCGGGTCTTGATCAGCCTCCCAAAATTTAAACAATTTGGTAAGAAACTTACTTTGAAGTTTATATGGAAATTAATATGGGAAACTCAATCTTTTTTTTTCATAGAATTCAGCTACAACTTTGCGGGAGATCGTTTTTCCGTCAAACGTCATATTAATTAGTTATACATTATTTAAGAGATTGATAATGTTATGGCATGATCAAGCAACTGCTTTGTGGGCAACACTGTATTGTGCAGTGTGACATAGTAGCCATGATTGTTGTGCTCTATTCCACGTGCCAGGAACATCAATGTTACCTTGTTGTAGTTGTTGATTGAGGGTATTCATAAGACACCCGCGTTTTGAATTATTTATAACTTTTATTCTTTTCATTTTATCGAAAATGAACGTTGAATTTTCTATCATTTTTAAAATCAGAGCGAAATTGTGAATTATTAAAGGTAGAATGAATAAAAAAATATGGTATTCCTATAGTAATTTCAAATTGTTTGTGCCAAGTCAGTTTCTTTCGAAATGAGTTTCAATTTTAGAAGGTTATTCAGCACCCTATTTGAAATCGGTAAATGACGGCTTCGGCAATACCTTATTATATTATCGTCGGGGTGTAAACAAGGTCCTTGAGAGCTAAATTTTTGTATGTGGATACATTGTGTTTTAAAGCATCTATTGGCCACCTTTTAGTGCTCTAGGACTTTGTTTACCCCCTGACGATAAAAGGTTAAGGTATTGCCGAAGCCGACATTTCTCCTATAATACCCATGCTACTCTTCAAATTGCAAAATCTGGGAATTGAGCCAAAACTTCTCAAATGGCTCGAATTATATATAACTAATCGTCAACACATAGGGGAATTTACGTATTCTCGGCAACCTAAGCAGCGACCTTCTTTCTATAGCCTTTTTCTCTATGGAACGCACACATATGCAGTATTGGTTTGTTTACAATCTTTTGCTGCCAGCTGCTCTAACAATTTCAGTCGAAAGAATTGTCAAAAACTGTTTTGAAACGCTTTTACAAAGCTCCAATCTTCTCTAGTGAGAGCGAGTATTGTCGGCAACCAGCTTTTCTTCGGCAACCGTTCCATTTGAATTGCATGTAAATCTGCTGTTCTATTATCGGCAGCTCGAAATCAGCTACAATTTGTAGTGCGTGTGTTTCATTTCAAGAAAACCCTGCTAGATTGCTTTTTCTTAGTGGTAAAAATTTAGTCAAATTGAAGCTGAAAGCATAAAGAATCGTTTGCATGCATTCAGCGAAGTGTTTTCGTAAGAAAATCCAGTGAAAATAGTGTTTCAATTTGGGTTGCCGAAAATAGTCTGTCATGCCGAAGCCGTCATTTCCCCTAGTTTGGTTTTTTTTTCCTTGATTTGTTTTCTGTCGATCTTGTTTTCCGTGCTGAGCACCAATGCTACCGACGCCAGGGAGGCAGCTCCCACACCTGGACCCTACCTATCGACCAATCAACTCATGAACCGGGGACCAACGGCTTTACTTTAGCTCCGAAGGAAGGCGTGATCAGAGATGTTATGCCTAAGAACATTCTGGCGGCGCTGACTGGGATTAAACCCAAGCCTGCTGGAGTAAGAGGTAATCACGCTTACCACTACACCACCGACGCCGCTTACACATAGTTTCGTTGAAACGGAAGACATCGAACCCTATTCAAGTCACCTCAGGATTCCCATCGAAGTCCTCTTCTGTTTATATTAGTTGTCAACGACATTTCCTGCCTTCTAAAAGTTCTAATTCATGCCGACGACATAAAACTCTAGCAAAAAGAAAAATAAGGAACAAGGAAGACATCAAGATATTCCAGGAAAAAAAAAACCATATATTTTCTATATTTGTAAAGTAATTCAATAACTTTTAGTGGGAAACGAAATACATCAGACATTACAATCGAAGTGTGCAAAAGTTAGGGATAGGGATAGGAGTTAGCCTAGATTCATTGACCATTACAATACAATCATCCACAGAGTAAATTGCATGCTTGAATTTATAAAACATTATAGCCACAGTTTTCGTGACCCGTGCACAATAAAAACATACATACATTACCTATGTGAGATCATTACTTGAATATTGTAGCGTAGTTTTCCCAAGTAACCATAAGCACGTTATTTCGCCTTTTTGTCTATATACGGGCCTCATCAGAGCTTACAATTACTGGTATAACCGTTGTTCAGTTGTATGTAGCCAAAAAAGTGAAATGACGTGCCTATGGTTACTTGGGTGCTCACCTATTTCAGTCACGAAGAACGAATATAATTAGTGCAAAAATAATATTTATGGTCTGCACTTCGTAAATTAGGTTGAAAAAGAATTCCTCTGCCGTCTTATGAAGCCCGCTCAAGATCATTCACATTCAAACACTATAAAGCGTCGTGAATTTGTAATGGACTCATTTGTTAACGATATCGTTTTATATTGTATTGATATCGTTTTATATTGTATTGATAGCAGTAGAACTCTCATCAAAACATATTTTTTACGTACCCTTCCGGTAACTACGAAGCCGAAATATATTTGTTACAAGCCACCATCGTACAAATTATGTCAAATTTGAACCTTTAAATTAGATGATTAAAATAAGCTTTGCGAAACTATTGACTTTACAATGACAATAACTTAATGGAGACTATACTTTAATTCTATTCGTTAATTAAGAACACGCAAAAGTAATATATTGTAAAGCAGACACTGTTTAGTCCAGTGTTTTTGTATATTATATTTTTAGAAGTAAAACTTAAAATGTAGTTCTCTTTATGAAGAGCTTTGAGTGTGTTGGTTTATTTCCTTTTAATTCCGATATAATTGCTTATCTTTTGACTGATGCGCGTATTTCATCTACTACTTGCAGACTTCATCAGTGCCAATTACTCAACACCACTGAAGAATCTGAAAATGCACATTTTTCAACGTTTTCATGAGCATTAATAAAAAAAATGCGTAAAATATACACTTAACATGTGTATCTATCGATAATCGTGTGAGCTACATGGCTTCGAAGTTGAGAAGTGTACATATTTTGTCGCTTACGTCACTACCAATGAGCGATCAAAAATCTCAGACGGCATTGGACTGCAACTGTGAGCCTCTTAGGTAGTTCGATAGTCCGGTTCCACACACTACAAATGAATGTGGGTAGAATATTGGAATAGATAACTCCATAAATACGACCAACACATTAAATCTGCACAAGATACTTGGCATTGAAAAATATAGTCGCATCAACTGGGAAGCTTTTCATGCATTACAGTGATTTTAATAGAATCATAAATCGAAGGGTGCCACATGCATCGACATGTAAATTTTCAAATGCATATATCTAAGCTTGAAATCTCTTCGTATTTTAGATTTGATTTTATTAGGCACATCACAAAATATTATTCATAAACTTGTGTGGTCTTCTGGAGATCCCACACCTTTTGATTTTTAATGCACTTTTAAAGGTCTTTTCAGCATTGAACACATATTATCTTTTAGGTATAAATAAAGTATCACTAAAAAATTATTGCAATAATTACAAATTACCTTTCATTTAATTATTTTTTGTTAGTTCACCATCTGTGTACCACCTACACACTATGAGGAAGCTGAGTAACCCTTTCTTTGCTTTCTGGTCTGCAAAAGCACAACACATTTAAAAGAACACCCTGTGTGTCCCACACTAGCAAAACAAGAAATGATCATACACATACACTTTTACAATCATGAAGCTGAGTGTTCAATTCTTTGCAGATCAAAGCCTGATCACTGGAAGTCTGCTGGAATTTATTTCAATTTCAGTCTTTTCCGAGCACTTTTACTAACTATTCTTAGAGATAATTGTTCTCACTGCAATCATTCACATTATTTTGTTAGTAGACAATAATCAAATCAATAATTGATATTAACTAATAAGGAAACAAAACTCGGATACCAAATATAAAACGTCCGCACTTCACGACACTGTACGCTATACTGGATTACATCGTCAACGAAGTGTAGTGAATGTTTTTTTGCAGCTATTTTTTTTTTCGTTCATCATGACACCCATTCATAACAAGGAATGTTAACTAGAATGCAATTTTTTTGCTTCTTTAAAAAAAAATCTTATTTGAATCCTGTGATCTATTCTTATATAGTATGCGATAAAGCTTTTGTATGGGGAGATAAGGCATTTCGTTTTTCAATTCTATAGAATTAACAAAGTTCCTAGTTTTTCGATGATTTTTTGCGAGCGAAGAATAATGAATGTCGTCAAGTGAATCGGGTAAGTCTGTCTATAGAAGGCTGAACTATCCGCCCAATTGAAACCAATGCATTGAAGCACAAAATACTTTTTCAAAGCACCATGGATTTTGTTTCTTAATATGTAAGAAATCATTTAAAATATAATATATATATATAATATAAACAAGTGATGGAAATTACAACATTGATAGAAAGAATGCCCATAAATAGAGTACAAGTCTGGGTTGGAAATAAGATGTTTATACCTTCCAAGCGAAAGACTTCAATGCTGGTCAAATGAAGTACCTGCATTTGAAAGCTCAACAGAATGCTGAATCGCGTGAACCAATTGACGGCTTGCAGCAAAGCTTTACAATTTTCCACATATACCCGAATAAAAATCGACTGGACGTTTGCTCTATGATTTATTGCAGGCATACCATAAAATAAATCAGAGTTCTTTAATTATGGGATAACTTTAGATACTTGAATGATCTCTGTATTAATATGTAGCACTCTTTTATTGAATATGTTGAAAAGCTATTGACACTAGATAAGCGTTACAAATGTCTTAGATTCGGACTTAACGGTATTAAATTTAAGTTTATTTGTATTGCAATTTGTCTTATGTATGGCGAACTTCACGATGATACCCATATAATCCATTTGTACCTTAAAAGATGTATGTCTTGTGTTACATGTAATAAATAATGATAACTATAACTTGCATATTGCTTTTATAACTGATACTTTTCTCAAATCTCGTAATAAGCTAAAAAGTGATCCTATTTTTTTATCGTAATGATCGGTTTGAGCCAGTGGTGGCGTTGCCATCATTGTTCCTAATAGTTCTCAAAGGCTATTCCAGCGCATAAAGACGGTAACATTTTATTCACAAATGCGAAAAATGTCAGAAACTTGCTAAGCAGTTTTAAGAGTTCCAATAATTTCAGTTCGGGTCTTACTAGTCCTATTGAGAATCAGCTTTCTCGGGAATATCTGAATATCTCCTCTCGGGAAAATATGTTTGTTGATTACTGGGGAACTGAAATGGACGAAGTAAGAACTATAAGTAAACAATTTCAAAATATGAAAGCGCGAGGTGTACCTTGGCTTTCTTATTGGAATCATAAAAAAAAAGTTTCCATTTGGCATACTTTTCTGATCAATGGAAAAATGCCAAAGTCGTTCCATTTTTGAAGCCGGATAAAAATCCAGTTTAAGCGTCTAGCCACCATCCTCTCTTCTAACCTTCTGGCGGCAAAGTCTAGTTCCTGAGAAGATAAAATATGTTCGGAAAGGACCTGTAGCACCGATAAACCGACATGACACTTAATTCTGACTTCTGCCCGAAAATCGTAAACGGCCGATTTAAATATGCAGTGATCCGAACTGTCAAAACCATAGGATTTTTTTTTATCTAGATAAAAAATATTCCAGGATAGATCAGACACGAACAAATTCATAACTTTTGCATGCGGGTTCATGGCTTAACTAAATATTTCTCGCAAACACGGAGCCAGATGTCAGTAGTGTGCTTTGGTCAGAAATTTTATTGCTTTGGTTGTCGGTGCCTGTAGTTTTGCTAATTTAATGGCTTCGAATATATCTACTATATGAGATTTCAGAAGGTCTAAGTTGAAATGAATTTTAAAAATCTCTAAAAACTATGAATTTTTTTCCCTGCAATATATTTTTTCGCTAAAATTAGGATTTTACTGATTAACAACAACTAGATATTGATTTATAATGAGGTTAATTCGATCTTGTTATTTTCATTGATCAAAATACTTGTGTTCACATGTAGCTATTGCATATTTTTTGCAATTTCAATTAAGTCGTCCTCGTTGAGATTTCTGGTTATGGCTTTAATTCCGGTTCCTACAAAATTAAACAATTCGCTTTTTGCTCAATTTTTTTTGTTGTAGTTCAGTAAATAGCAGCAGAATATTGCTTAATTTTGTATTCAAAAGTTCAGTCATTTCAGTATAGTTACCGAGAGAGTTGATTCCATTGATGTTCGTCTTAAGTTTCCTGAAAATAGGTTCGTAGATTTCTAAATTGTTAATGTGGAAAATTCTGCGTTCTACTATTTTCAGAAATCTATGTCCGTCTTGTAGGGTCAGGAATTCTGAAGTAGGGGCTACGTTAGTGACTTGTATGAATTTTTACAATGCAAGGTTCTCGTGGATAAGGGACAAAATGATGATGAAGAGGGTAGTGCGTAGTTCCATCTTGATTAAGTTGCCTGGTTTTCCACTCTAGCCTAAAAAGGTAGAATGTAATTATTAACCTGTACTTTTAATTTATTATTATCGGTTGCTGGTATTTCACTCTAGCGGATCTCGGATTGCCTGTTCGAGGTCGACTAAAGGGTGATACGGTCAAAATTTGGTCAAGGGAAAACGCGTGTAAATCGGTGAAATCGTTTATTTAAAAAATCAAATTAAATTTCTTTTTCAAGTTCAATTACACCGTTCTAAAAAATCATGAAAATTTCTGCGAGATATAGCGCACATAAAATTAACGCTAGATTTGGCATAAATTTACGCGATATTTCGTGTAAATTTAAGCGCAATTTCGCATAAATTAGCGATATTGTTTGCAAGCTTGTAAACGATTTCGCTGTTTATGACAAGTATAGCTTAAAATTAAACGAAGGGAGATTTTACGCACTAGTTAAAATTCAGAATTTTTTTCTGTGTAGTATAAAATTCAGGAAAAATATTCAGTTAGGCTTCCGCTTTTCCAAATCCGAATTGCCGGGCCTTACGCTTGACCCCTGCCATCAGATTTTGTACAGCCACCTTGTTCACCTTCTTCGCCGCAGAAAGCCAGTTTGCCTTGAACTGCTGCTCGCCCTTAGCAGTTTTTTTGGTCTTCTTTAGGTTCCGCTTGACAATAGCCCAGTATTTCTCAATTGGGCGGAGCTCTGGCGTGTTGGGAGGGTTCTTGTCCTTGGGAACCACCTGCACGTTGTTGGCGGCGTACCACTCCATGGCCTTTTTACCGTAATGGCAAGATGCCAAATCCGGCCAAAACAGTACGGAACAACCGTGTTTCTTCAGGAAAGGCAGCAGACGTTTATTCAAACACTCTTTCACGTAAATTTCTTGGTTGACAGTCCCGGAAGCTATGAAAATGCTGCTTTTCAAGCCACAGGTACATATGGCTTGCCAAACCAGATATTTCTTTGCGAACTTTGACAGTTTCATGTGCTTGAAACATCTGCTACCTTTCCCCTTCCTTTTGCCGTATAAAACTCCTGTCCCGGAAGCTGCTTGTAGTCGGCTTTGACGTAGGTTTCGTCGTCCATTACCACGCAGTCAAACTTCGTCAGCATCGTCGTGTACAGCCTCCGGGATCGCGCTTTGGCCGTCGTATTTTGTTTATCATCGCGATTTGGAGTCACTACCTTCTTGTAAGTCGATAGTCCGGCTCGATTTTTGGCTCGAGGCACGGTTGTAGACGATACACCCAGCTTATTTGCGGCATCTCGGAGAGAGAGGTTAGGGTTTCGCTTGAAACTACCGGCAACTCTCTTTGTCGTCTCAGCGGCTTCCGGTTTTCGATTTCCCCCTGATCCAGACTTCCTGGCTGTCGACAAACGTTCCCCAAACACTTTAATTACATTTGTAACGGTTGATTTGGCAGCTTTTAGTGATTTTGCCAACTTTGCGTGCGAGAAGCTCGGATTTTCGCGATGCGCGAGCAAAATTTTGATACGCTGCTCTTCTTGCTTGGACGGCATTTTGACAACTGAAGAGTGAATTCCAAAATCAAAATAGGAGCAACATTCTACACACACACACCTTCAAAATGAGGGGTGTTCAGGTTTTTTAAATGCAAAATTGAAAGAAATACGTCAAGTTGATATTGACCAAATTTTGACCGTATCACCCTTTAGCATTATGCTGACTGACTAACTTGAGAACGCAACACAACACCTCGCATGGTATCTCAATACACTTGTGCACGACAAAAAATAAATTTTAATATTACATCCAAGAGGATGCACTTCAATCATGTTGAAAATCTCATGTAATTTTTATGGCCACAACAATAAACAAATGTAGTAAATGCAGCGTAATGTCAGTTCATGTACCGCAATTTAATGATAATTTTGTTCTTTTTGGCAAGTAATATTAAACAACATTTTCGACACGCTTGAAGCACAGAGAACAGACGTTGAGCCTTGAACTAAATTTCTTTAAAAACTTGTGCTTTTTGACAACATGATGGCGCTGGCGTTGCACAATTTACACTAGACACTAAGTGCCTGTAGCGCCAAGTGGTAATTTTCAACCGAAAATTTATTGATACTAGCGCCAAATTGGTTAAAAGTGGAAGGAGATGCTAGCGCTACGTAACGGCAACTTTCCCACTTATCTTTACACAAGATTCTACTG